ATAGAAGCTTTTGCACCATTATTTAAATAGAGGATATTACATGGGCGCGTGGAGATATGAAATTTATCTTCAAGTGTTGAAAAGATCTCTCATGAGTGAGCGATAATTATTATATAATTATCCATAAAATTAACTTAACAAGCTTTTTATTATTATAAAAAGTTTTTATTTATAAACTAATAGCTTAAATACCATGGTAACGATATTTTCACATGCGAAAATAACATGTTATTTTTGCATGTGAAAATATCAGTTTTTCAAAAAGGATAAATATAGGTATTTCATGGATAATTCTATGATAATAGCAGCAATAACACAGGAGGCACAACAAAAGAGTCTTCTTCACCCTGGGAAACTTAGCTTTTTCTAATGTAAATCAGATTAGATCAGATTCAATATATTGTTCCTGCTTCCTGTTATGGATGCCATTACATAATGGTGGCTCTGCAGCAAGTCCTCAGGGCTGATCAAGGGCAGGACATGGCTAATTTACAGAATAAGTTGGAATTTAGTATGTTAGGTTCTGTGAAGGGAAGAAAATTGGAGAACCAAGAGAAAAACTCTTGAATCAATAGTCCCCTTCACAGTTCCCGTGCCATCTTGAAAGGTAGCTGTGCCTTTGAATCGAAGCGAGACGAACGGTGAGCTTGCAATGATAGAGACCTTTTTTCAACACCTTGGACAATCATGCACATGTCTCCATCATTGCAAGCTCACTGTTTGTCTCGCTTCAATTCAAAGGCATGGCTACCTTTCAAGATGGCTCAGAGAACTGTGAGGGGACTATTGAGATCTTACAAACTCTACTCATGCATGTGTGATTGGAAGTTCAGGAATTGAACCTGAGACCCCAGAGGTTGGATTTCTAACAATACATCAGACTATATGTCAAGGGTAAGTCACTTGTACTTACTTCATGACACCTGGTGGCGGTGGTGGAGGCGGAGGTGCTGGAGGAGTGGGGGGAGGAGGTGGAAAAGATCTCTTTGCATCGTCAAGGCTTTCTTGGAGAACTGAAACTTTGTTACCAAAAAGGATAGACATAGTATAGTAGTAATAAATTATGCGTTCGGTGTATATATAATGAAGTAGAGAGAATAAGAGAAAAATATCAAATGCCCTTGGCAGGATTCGAACCCACGTCTTCGGTATTCTAGTCCGATGTATTAACCACTACACTACGAGGACCAACCACGCTGGGGACGCAGCCAGAATATGAAATGTAGGGTATTCSTGAGGATCCCAGAGCGATATTTTTTCCCTATAAGATAAGTTGAACACCGTAAATATGTACGCAAAGAATAGACATAGTATAGTAGTAATAAATTATGCGTTTCTACCATTTTTACCTAATACATATTGTAATATTGTTCTTTTTTTTTTCTGTAACAGAGCAGGGCTAAGATCTGGAGATGTGATAAGGAAAATCAATGGAGCTGAAATCTCAAGCTCCAAAGAAGTATTTGAGTATGTGAAGAAAGGAGAAACCCTGAACATGGAAGTGCAGAGGGGAAATAAGACTGTTACTGTGACTGTTCAACCACAAGTTGTTGGATGATGATATTATCATACTATTAATAAAAATATTACTTGATGGGCTTCCTGTGGAAGCTACATTGTGTCTAAAGATGGGCTCTTTTCTTTGTCCTTGTCACAAAATGTTCTATTTCTTAAAATACAATGGGATCTTTTGGTAAGCCTTTGCATATGCACACAACATGCATGTCCTTAGAGGATTTTATTTTGATTAGCCTGATTATAAGTCGCTCTATGATGGTCGCTTTATAAAATTTTAAACTCAATAGACCTCCTCAGCTCTAGAGAGCTCGAGTGTAATGCTGTCCCATTTCAGAGCACGTCATTCCCTTGAGAATGATATTCTTTGTTTGAGTTGTATCCATATTCATGTGTCTTCTCATGTGCAACCGAGCACAAACCTTAAACAAAGAAATGATACTCTAGGGAATGACACGTGGTCTGAAATGGGGCAACATTTTCGTCACAGCCGAGGAGGTCTATTTCATATTGTTTGATTTTTCCTTAGTGTTTAACAGTCTATCATGAAACACTTCATGAGCATCTAGTTATTATGATATCAGAATGCAGTTTTCTTTTTTTCTTTTTGATAAATAGTAGCAGCAAATAATATTACTGTTCAGGTGCTTTTATGAACTTTTATTGCTTTTTTTTACCGTAAGGACATTTTATACAAAGACAAAATTGTATAACAAAAAAGATGCATGTTTTGAAAAAAATATATCTTGGCATTATGCAATAAATTGTGTGGGAGAACATAACCTCGCTAACTAACATTACCATATATTCTGACTGACCCCTCCCCTAGGAAATTCTGATTCCCTTCAACGACAGAGGTGGTAATATTTTCTACAACTATGCAATATATTTTTGTGAGTGTCTCACTAATCCATAGGAGACCCAACAACATTCAAACAACA